ACCACCACCACAACCACCACCACCGCCAACGATACCGCCACCACCAACGCCACCACCACCACCACCACAATCACCGCCACCACTCCCACCACCACCACCACCACCACACACAAACGCACTCACACACACACACACACACCACAGAGGAAAGCGTTCTCGGACTGCGCGGAGAAATCCAGCGCGTAAGTAATTCGAGATTCCGTCGGGCCCACAGCGTGCACTCACAGCGTGCGCTCACGGTCTTTCTCACCGGTTGGCGCGCAGCGTGCGCTCACAGCGTGCATTCACAGCGTGCACTCACAGCGTGCACTCACAGCGTGATTTGCCCACACTGCTGTGCGTGCCCGCCGTGGTGAGCCCACGCTGTGAGCCCACGCTGCGAGCCCACGCTGTGAGCCCACGCTGTGGGCCCACGCTGTGAGCCCGCGCTGCGAGCCCACGCTGTGAGCCCACGCTGTGAGCCCACGCTGTAAGCCCAAGCTGTGAGCGCACGCTGTGAGCGCACGCTGTGAGCCCACGCTGTGAGTGCACGCTGTGAGCGCACGCTGCGAGCGTAGGCTGTGCGAGCGCGCTCATCAGCTCAGCGAGCCCTGGACGCAGCGTGCGCTCACAGCGTGCACTCGCAGCGTGCGCACTCACAGCGTGCGCTCACCGCAGCGTGCACTCACAGCGTGCACTCACCACAGCGTGGACTCACATTGTGCGCTCACAGCGTGTACTCACCACTGCGTGGGCTCACAGCGTGCACTCACAGCGTACGCTCACCAGAGCGTGCACTCACAGCGTGCACTCAATCACTCACGGTTAAGCGCAAAGCTCCTCACGGTTGGGATCTACTCTCTGATTTTTGAGTGTCTTTTATTTTTCGTTCAAAATCCCCTTGTAGGGGGACATGCCCGACCTAACGCTTGACGTGCCTCAGCGCTCTCGTGCCGTGCCTCTCGCGGAGCGGAAACAGTGCACGTGGGCTTCCTTGGGCTGGTTATTTCTGTCGGTGCTGGTGTTGGCGTCCGTGGCGGCGTTCTCTCCGACGCAGATCTCCTCGATTTCCGCTCCACCATGATCTGCGCCATCATAGCTGCCATGACGATGGGGTAGCCCTCCACGCTGTGGGTGCGCGTCTTGCCTCCGGGCACGGCGTGTCGATGATTGGTATTGGCATCGCACCTCTCGCTCACGACTGCCGCAATGAGCTTGGTCGTCTTGATACTAGTCGGCTTCTTGACCAGTCGGTCGCTGCCTGGTACAGGTAGCCCGTACATGCATTGGTCGAACGTCAGGCCAGGCAGATTGCTGAATGCAATTGCGTGCCATGTTCTCGAGGTAAATGAATGCTCGATGTGAGCGCGACGTCCAGCTCCGTGCTGCATCGGGTAAACGTCCGCGGTGAACGTCAAGTGTACTCGATGATACATTTTCGTAGATTAATGATGTACTCCTCCCATCCGAGATGGTGGTGAATGTTCCGTTCCTGCATGTTTGACCATGGGCCGCGCATAGGAGATGGATGCACCTCGTCTGGCTGCTGCTGGGCGAGCCTCTTCTTGAACAACTCCTGATGCTCGACCTTCGCGAAGTCCCATCCAGTATGTGGACCAAGCGTCTCGACTCTGACTCTCAAGTCGCGCAGCACTTGGGATGGCCGAGCTTCTCCAGCGTAGACTTCCCAAATAATCTTCCTCTTTGTGGCCCTGGTGCTGGCTGCGCGACGCATCGTCTGCATGTACCATTCGTTGGCGTGCTTCACAGCTGAGTCGATCTTCTGGATGAACTTGCTCGTAATCTGCTTCGCCGCGTGCTGTAAGTCGTCGCTCTGCATGCTGCTGAGACCCGTGTCGCTGCTGAAGGGCTCCTGTAGGTACCAGCATGGTCATAGAATCGTCGGGTCGACCAGAGAGATCAGCGCAATGGTGAAGCATGGATTGCCGCACCGAGTGTGGTTTTGCCACTGCCTCATGCAGGCTCCACATTAATTGACCTGAACGACTCGCTGTGGGCATGATCCTGCGTGGGGTCGCTATCTCGCGGGCAGGTGCTCCCACTGCTCGTTGTCTCTGCTCGATTCCGCCACGTCTCGAGCCGTCATCGTCTCACTGCTGGAGTCCAGGAACTTGGCCGCGTCAGTCGGCTCGTACTCAAAGTCATGTCCTTCTCGAAGGTAGTCTCGTCCATGGTCTCCAGCATGTCGACCATCTGGTGCCCTTGGTTGGACAGCATCGCTTCCTCGAACTTGCCACCACTGTTCCAGGAAACCTTCTGCTTTGCATCGTCGGCCAACACCTAGAACTCTTCGAGTCGCGGTCATGGAAACAGAGTTTGGGGTATGACCAGGTACCACGTAGATGTAGAGTGTCCCTGTTTCATTATCGAAGCTGGCCGGGATCAGTCTGCACCACTGCGTGTGCTCAATCTTGCCCTCGCCGAACTTGAAGGGCTTCGGGCACTCGAAGAAATTCAGCTGCTCGACCGGGTAGCCCATCTGGTGGCAGTCGGCTATGTAGTCATTGACCGTCTCCGGTGCAGAAATGAGCGTCGTCGCGCCCGCAGTCCGTGATGCCGTTCCTCACGGAAATGGCCACAGTAGTCTTCTTGGTGTCCAAGTAGACCTCATCGACCCTCATGCTCTCGTCCATATGCCGCCTCTTCTCAGGGGCAACGATAGGGGTGGATAGGCATAGGGGGGGATGCATCGACCCCCAATCGTCCATTGATCGCCGATAGGGGCCCGATAGCCCCAACACGCTCAGGAAGGTGCGGTTTCACTATCGGGGGCCTATCGCCGATCTATCGGCGATGTATCGCCGATTCCAGGTCGATGCATCCCCCCCTGTGCCTATCCCCCCCTATCGTTACCCCTCATCTTCTTCGGCGGCTCCGTGCAATCACGAGCCTAGTGACCAGGATTGCCGCACCTCAGGCACGCAGCTGGTGGTGATGACGAGGGAGCTGGCCTGCTGGCTACTGCAGCCCCCATCTGACAGTCTTGGTCTCGTATAGAGGTTTGGTGGTGGTGGTGGTCTGCCCTTACGTCCACCTGGACCGCCTTCTCTTCCTTTGGACTTGCCACGTGCTTTTGATCCTTTGCTCGTCGAGCGTCCTCGTTCCGACGCCCTCCGTCGCAGGAGTCGAACCTGCGCCGCACCCTTGACTGACCATCGCGAAAGCGGGGTAGAAGCCTCTTGACAACTTCGCGGGTCGTCGAGGCGCTTCCTCGCGTCGTAGTAGGCCGCGTAGACCTCGTTGAACTCTCCAGGGTCGAACTGGGCGGTCGCCGCATCGGGCTGGTAGTAGCTCTCGTCGCAGTCGTCTCCTCGGCCCAGCACTCCTGCCAGTGGTCCTCGTCCTCGTCGGCGTCGCCGGTGTAGAGCTCTTCCTCGTAGTAGTCTCCATCTTTGTCGACCCGTGCGTGATTCGGCTCGTGCGTCGTGCTCTTTTGCCCGAAGGTTGCTCGGGCGCCTCGACGACCTTGTCCTGCGTGATGTCCCTGCCCACGATGGACATGATAACCGCCTTCTGATCTGAGTTGTATCCTCCACGTCATAGGGTCAGCCAGCCTCGAACTTTAGCGGCTAGCAACTCGATGTTGTGTGTCTGGAGCTTCCGCACTGCTCGAACTATTGAAATATAGACGAAACGCTTCTCGCCATTGCACCTCTTCATCTTGTAGAGGTATTCCTCAAAATCGTCTGCCAAGTCGGTCCGGTCGTTCATCTTGAATCGTTGGCGTAGCCTCGTCATCAGGGTCTTGGCCACGTCGGGCTTGATCAGGCCGTCTGCAGAGAGATCCTCCACATCGTCCCACGCCTCGCCTGTGAAACCTGCGCTGAGCATAAGAGCTGGTTCGCCCGCCTTCCTCTCCAGGGTCAGCTTCGCGATGAATACCAGCGCTCTCTTCTCGTACTCCTTCCATTTCGCTGTGGAACTCCTCGGTCCAGTAGCATGTGCGTATCTGTGTTGTTCTTCGCCAGCGTGTCGGCACTGGGGCTGTGGACGGGGTCCGAGTGATCTGGGCTGCCGCTGTCCGTGCTGATGCTCTGGTAGTCGCTGGCGCTGGCGAAGCTGCCGCGTGGGGCTCCGCTGGGAGTCGATTCCACTCCGAAGTCTAACTTCGAGATCTCGTTGAACTTCGCATAGAAGTCGACGGGTGTATATGGAGGGGCAAAGCGTGAGCCTGGCGAACCAGGCTCCGTTACCAACATGAACTTATCAAAGCCCTCGGAGTCTTTGAGGAAAATCATTGCCACCAATAAAAATAATAAAGATGTGAACATCACTTTTACAAGTCGCTGGATTAGTTGAAGGGCCCTGTAAATGTTTGGGCCAGTAGAGCAATAGTTTTCTCCTCCCATCTCTATACAATCCTCTCGAAAGCAGCGTGCAATGTACAAACACACAGATGTACAGCGTATATTACCAGAGAAAGTAAAGTAGATGGGGGAAGGAGAACGAGAAAGAGGATGATGAGGAGGAGGTGAGAGGAGGAGCAGCAGCAAGGAGGAGGAGGAGGAGGAGAAGGAGAGGATAGGAGGAGGAGGAGAGTGATGATGGTGATGCTGCTGCTGATGATGTTGATGATGATGATGCTGATGATGCTGATGATGATGATGATGACGATGATGACGATGATGATGATGATGATGATGATGATGATGATGATGATGATGATGGTGATGGTGATGGTGATGGTGATGATGATGATGGTGATGATGATGGTGATGATGATGATGACGATGACGATGATGATGATGATGTTGTTGATGATGATGATGATGATGATGATGATGATGATGATGGTGATGATGATGATGATGATGATGATGATGAAAAGGAGGAGGAGGAAGAGGAGAGGGAAGATGAGGGGGTGCAACAAGGAGAAACATATATCCGTCACTCCTCGCTTCCGGCCCTTTCGATCGCGGCCGCGCGATCAGGACAGCGGCCGCCAGCTTCGGCCGCTGTCCCAGCTGCCCCCCACTGCCCTGCACCTCCTCGCCCGCCCCAGCCGTTTTTGTTGCCCAGACCCAGCTGGCGCCGCCCCTCCGCCGCGAGGATACCCAGTCAGGGCTCGAGCTGAACGGTGTTTTGGCGATTTCGTGGACCATTTTTGAGCGTGCTTCTTTATTGCTTGAGGCATAATGGGCACTATAGCCCCCAGCCCCCCCTCCCCCCCTTATAACGTGACGCCCCTGCCCCCCCAGTGCGCTCTGGGCACTGCCGCCGTGCGCACGGCGGGGCGAGGCGTGACATGATACCCCCCCCATGCCCCCTTCCCCCTATAATGCCCATCATCGCCGAAAATAAAGAAACGTCCTCTTTGCTCTGATCTCGTTTGGCAGCACAGAGGCGGAGCGAAGCCAGGACGAGGGAAAAAGCGACAACCAAACGAGGACGGGGAACACTGCTCAATCAGGTCGAGCCCTGTGTGCAGCAGGGGCCTGGAGTGGGGCCGGAGAGAGGGGCCCTGGGACCACGCCGCGCAGGTCGACGCGCCAGCGGCGTGGGCGCGGTCTGGGGCCCGAGCTTCTCGGCCCCGACGCCGCCCGTGGGTCCACGCCGCACCCCTCGAGGGAGTCTGCTGTGCAGAGCCGTGGGCTCAGCATACAGCCGGGGCCCTGAAGAAGGAGCCCTTTTCGTTGGGGAGGGGCTCGGTGCTCCGTGACTGCTCTACAGCTTGCCTTCTGTTGTCCTGAGGTTTTCCATGGGAAATCGAAGCTCAACTTGTGGGAGAAAGGGGCCCCGTTCCTTATTGAGGGTTCCTTAGGTCAACGCCCCGACTGTAATGCCGCGAGCACGCAGGCGCGCCTGCTTGCCTGCCCGCGCGCACGGCCACGAGCTGCCCACGGCCTGCGGCTCTCCGACCGGGGCCTCGTCGACGCCCCGGGTGCGTCGGCGAGGCGCCGCCGGCGCGGTGCGGTTTCTTGGGGCCCCTGCTCGCTCTGGCCTCACTCGGGGGGCCCCTGCGGGCAGACCGGCCACAGTTGGGGGAGCTGTGGCCATCCCTCCCCTGCCCCCCCCCTTCGGAGACCCATCCGCTCAGATGTCCCTACCGGGAGGTCGTCGCCACGAGGGAGGCCCCCGAGGCCTTGGGGGAGCGTGGTTGAGGGCATCAACCTTTCGCGTAATGGAGGATGACGATTAATAAATGACCGGGGGTCGTGTTCACGCGGCGGTGCCTGGGATGACGATTAGAAAAAACCGGCCGCGGGCTGGAAAACTATTTTTTTAATCGTTCTCCTCCAGTCCGAAAAATATGCAGAAATAGCAGAAAACTATGTTTTAATCGTTCTCTCCCATTTTTCTGATTAATCGTCACCCCGCATTAACCCCAGATGGTCCCGTGGGGCTGCCCGAGGCCTCTGATTTTTATCTTTCCAGCAGGCGGCGGCGTCTCCTGCTTCGGGGCCTCACCTGGGCTTGGGAGAGCTTCCCCCCACGGAGGCAAAGGGGGACCGCGGCTCCCCCCCCCAGGCGGTGGCCTGTCGGCACGAGTCTGGAGGTCGAAGAGGGGTGTGGCACAAAGGGGTGTGGTGCCAGTCGTGGACATCGAGAGCTGCTGCCTGCGACGGACGCCATCGCCAGGATCCACATTGGAGGAGGAGGAGGAGGAGGAGGAGGAGGAGGAGGAGCAGGAGGAGGAGGAGGAGGAGGAGGACGAGGAGGTTGAGGAGGAGGCACCATGCCCCGTGACGCCACACCCCTCCCTCCTGCCTCCAGAGCGGAGAGGGCCGCTCTAGACTCCGGCGCGGCCATGGCCTCCGACGCGCCCGAGGGCGCGGGGCTGCTCGGCGACGGCGGGCCCGCGCCGGGGGCCCGCGGGCGGCGCTGGGCGGGCGCGCCGAGGGCCGGGGGCGCCGTGCACGGCAGGCCCGGCGCGCCGCGTCGGCGCGAGTCGGAGACGCCAGCGCGAAGGTTCAAGGCTGAAGTCGGGCCTGTCCCTCTACTCGGGGGCGGAAAAGAGGGGTGTGATGACTGGGGGGGGGGTGGATCTCATGGCGCGGGCCACGATATTTCCCCAGACTTCATGGCGCCTCTTCTCGTTTCATTACGTCCCTGGCCCCCCCTCTTGGCCGCGCACATGCCGCCGGTCATGATTTGCACCCCCTCCTCTTGGACACCCCCCTCTTGGCCGCTCCCGATCTACAGGAGGCATAGTCAAAAAAAGTCCAAAATTGTCCAGGGACGACGTTTATCATCATGTTCTGGGCATTGTCGAGCATGTTCGGATTGTTGTTCACTGTTCCTCCACAGTCCGCCTGTAGGGGGACATGCCCGACCTGATTCAAGGTTCAGCGTCACAGTCCAACCCGCATAGTGAGGATGGGCAGCCTTCCCAAGGGTATCCTTGCATCCTTGCTTCCTCGGCCCATCCTCAGCGACTCTTGCTGGCCGACCGCGTTCGAAAAACGCTGACGTGGCCCTCCAAGGCCCTTGCATCCTTACCGCGCATCCTTCTTATACGGGTTGACTGCACCAGCCGCCTGAGCTCGGCCGGTACTGACGGATCCACATGGTGTCAGGAGCCACCGCCGTGGTCATCGCGACGCGAACCCGCCGTGTCCCCGTGGCAGTCGAGTGCGACAGTCCCCCGACACCCCCTCTCGGGAACCTCCCAGTCGCGTTTTTGTTGTTTATGTGGTGTGTGTGTGTGTGGGTGTGGTGTGTGTGTGGTGTGTGTGTGTGTGGTGTGTGTGTGTGTGGTGTGTGTGTGTGTTGTGTGTGTTGTGTGTGTTGTGTGTGTGTGTTGTGTGTTGTGTGTGTGTTGTGTGTGTGTTGTGTGTGTGTGTGTGTTGTGTGTTGTGTGTGTGTTGTGTGTGTTGTGTGTGTTGTGTGTGTTGTGTGTGT